TATTATACAACAGTAAAGGTTTCCTAGATATCCAAATTTCTTATTTTTAATATTCATATTCAGAATATATAACAATAAGATTCTCTTAACTTTATTAATAATAAACATAAATAATTGATTTTTCTCTGATGGAAATATTTTGCTGAAAGTATTATGAAATCAATTAAAAGTGAAATGAAATTATTGATAAATTACTAAATATATATAAAAATGAATCGAACCATAATTATGAAATGCAATGTAATGCTGTAAAATATAAAGAAAGTTAAAGTATCCAACTGAAAAGTTTTCTTGCGCTCGTGACACACCTAAAAGTAATAACAAAAAGTTTTTCCTTTATCTAGCTCATTATTTTCAGTATGTAAAAATTACCAAAATTAAAAGATCTTAAAAACGATAGATAGTTCATTTGAAAGTAGAGACTTCAAGCTTTAAAACCTTCTTTCTAATTTAAATTTTTAAACTCTTGACAATGTTACAGCTATTTAAATCATGCCTATTTTTTTAAGAAGTATTTTCTTAATTGTTATGAGTAATATATATGCCCTTCAGTTAATAGATTAATAATTAAACATTCTCTGTGCGCGTGTATATGTGTGTGTATATGGTGCGCGTATATATATTTAAATTTATGTTAGGCGAATTATTTTTCAGTTGAGTGTATCTGCAAAATTACCATCTGGTAGTGATTACAGTTTAGAATTAGATCTGGCTCATTTAATAATACCTGGACAGTGTTCACACAAAGTATTATCATCTAAAATAGAAATCAAACTAAAGAAACAAAATGGCATTAGATGGAATACACTAGAAGGAAACCTAGTTGAGCAAAACGTAGTACAACCAATACCAACTGGTAAATTGTAAAACTTTTATTCTATATTACTTTATAGCAGAAGCTTGTAACGTTCCATTATTAGCTTCTTATTCATCTATTTTATTTGTAACATAACGTGTCTGTCTCTTCGTATTTAATTGCTCTTATTGTCTCCAATTTTAATTCCCCTATTTTTGTTTTTTCCTCTATAATATGGTATAATGTTCTTCTGTCCAGACTCAATATTCATTGTATATATTTTTTCATTATTCTAATCTTGCTTCATTTTGCTAATCCCAAACTTCTTCCCCATATAATGCTATATTCGTTGCCCAGCATCAAACATCTTCATTCTTCTTCAATGATGTTCCTAAAACTTTTTTCTCCTATGTTTCACATCTTTTTCATCGCTACTGTCACTCTCCTTATTCTCTCCATTACCTGTTTTTCCAAATTCCAAATTCCTTCATACATATCACTCGATATAGAAATAAATATCATGAGTTTTACATAATTACATGTTTTGTATAATTAAACAATTATACCATGTAAAAATGCGCATACTTAGTTTTTAGTTATATTTTTAAGTTTATTTTTAAGTTAAAATCTTTTTAAGAAATACTTCAGGCTAATGATCAAACGCCAAAATATCCAAGTTCCTGTAAGAAATTTAGAGATTGGGATAAGGTAGAGAAGGAGATAGAGAAACAAGAAGCACAAGAAGAGCCAGAAGGAGAGGCAGCTGTAAATGCTCTCTTACAACGAATATATGGTAACGGATCTGATGAAGTAAGACGTGCAATGAACAAATCTTTTGTAAGTAACATATTTTATATTATCAAATGAAATAATAATCAAAATAATCGTGAGAAAAATTGATTCAGCGCAGTATGAATTAAATTTTACCACTGATGTGTTCAAAATAATATTAATTTTTTTATATACACATCTTTCATGTGAAATAAATTCAAGTTTCATAAAGCTTCTCTCAAATCTTTTTAAATATTAACAGCATATTAACCCTTAGCTGACACACATATTTTGAACCCCGATTTTTAACGTTCTCTCTATGGCAGATGACGCTTGACTAAACTACCGTTATAGCACAAACACCTTGGGTCAAGCCTAGACTAATGCTAGGTGACGCCACAGAACTAAATTTGGCGCGCAACTATGAAAAAGCATTCATTATTCAAAAACACTCTGGGGTACTTTTAACCCCGTGTGTCAGCTAAGGGTTAATAAAAATACAATTTACATATATATAATTAGAAGAAGATTGACCGCACCGAAGATAAAATTATTAGAATCAAAGTTAGCACTATTTATACAGGGTGTCTCAAAGTTTTCCCTTCATCCGCAGTATGCAGGTAGAACGGATTAAATTGAATTAATGAGGAATTAATTATTCCGTATGAACAGTAGGCTGGATATATATTGCCGGATGTATAAAAAAAAATGGCTCCAACCGGCGTGCAGTCCTGCGTTACATACCAATCGCTGTTTGTTACGCGCAACATAGTTGCATTCCACCTGTCATGAATTTGACATTTCTTGTATTTAGCGTCTTATTTTTTATGTATTTGATATTACGACACTATCGTGCTGCTTGATACTATTATGATACTATACAGAAACTACTAAATATAAATATTATGTAGAAAATACTACATAAACTATTACATCATTTATAAAAATATCATTTATTTAAATATTCTATTTATTTTACAGGTAGAATCCGGCGGTACTGTTTTGAGTACAAATTGGTCAGAAGTAGGTCAAGGAAAAGTAGAGAAGAAACCACCAGACGGAATGGAATGGAAAACTTGGAACTCATAAAGTCATTCAAATAACAGTTTTTCGTTGTTTCTTGCATGCAATAACACTATTTGATTTAATGCACACTACAAGTATATATACATATAATCTATATAATGTACTTTATTATCAAAGAAACAAATAATCTTGACACTTTCACTATGTTACTCTTAAATAATACTCTTTCTATATATGATAAAATTCGATAAGAATGAATTTATTTCCTGTAATAATTATACATATGTATTCAGCATAATTATAAAATATATATACTCACATTAACTTGTATTTTTCTTTGCTTATATAATAATTTTATATAAAATATGTGTTGTGTGTGTATATATATATGTGTGTGTGTGCACACTCATATATATACATGTATATTAAGTCTTCCGGATACTCACTATGGCTGTCCTTTAATTACATTAGAAGCAAGGAAAATCATGCCAATTTATGTGACGGTACATGTGGAAAAAAAAGAATATAACACACAAAATAACACTTGTGATCGATTCAGCTTCATTTATTGCTTACTCAAGTAAAAGAAGTGTTCAGATCATTTTACAAATATACTGAATCGATAATGTGTCATTTTGTGGGTATATTGTTTTACTTGAACATATAACAAAAGAATTCTTGGCATGTGTTTTTTCACTTCTGGCGTCATCAAACAAGGGCAATTACAGCAAGGGACCAGGAGTTTTAATTAATAACTCAAAAATTTACACGGTTGTTTGCAAAATGGTAAAGGACTTTTCTGTTCAGTTTGATCCGTTCTACCTGTACATGGCCGCTCTGTTAAAACTTTCGAATATCGTGTATGTATGTGTGTAAAACTAAGTGTTCACACATATATTTTACAGTGCATATAAATGATAAAGAAATACAAAACTTTTTTAACACGTTTTCTTTTAGAAAGTATGTATAGCAGATAAATCTTATTATTTTGCAAAAGAAAAGGAACATTTTGTATTTTATCCAACATGTGATTATTTTACAATATTATAATTCTATAAATTTAAAATATAAATACAAGTGCATTTTGCATTTTATCCAACATGTGATTATTTTGCAATATTATAATTCTATAAATTTAAAATAATTATAAATACAAGCATACTTAATAACAATTCATAATAGTTATTTATGCTAAGATATATATATAGTATTTAATAACAAATTTTGCATGAGTATCCATTAAACAAAAGAAATTAAAACTTATGTAAAGTTAATTGTATTTCGCAAAATCATAAATTTTTAATAACGTGTATGAAGAAAGATATATATATTCCTTAATGCGTAAAAATGCTTGTGATATATGATCCACACGCATAAACCCCTCTTGGAATTCCTCCAATTAATGTGTATGCTATGTACTTAGCATTGGTCCAAATATTAGATGTATTATCGTTTTCATTATTTATCTCTTTTTCTATATTTGTATTTATAGTATTTTGTAAAAATTTTGTTTCAAATGAATGGAAACTTCTTTGGAGATCGCTTAGTTGATCTCTGTTTGTATGAATTAAGGATTCATTTTTTTCTTGTGCTTCATATATAGCATTTTTAATATCCAATATCTTCCGGTTGTTAAGTATTATTGAACCAATTAATGATACTACTGCTGCTACCACTGATGCGATAATAGACAAATATTTGTATTTTTGTGCATTCATATTTTGGCTATCATGATATTCTTTAATAGCTGTAGCTAATTGTGTAAATTTATCTTTTTCTTCTTTTTCCAATAATTCGAGCATATTAATGATTTTATTTTGTTCTTGTAAATTTTTATTTTCTACCATAGTTAAACGCACATACTTGGGATCATCCCGTTTAGTCTGTATTAATTCACTATAAACTTCTTGCAATTTAAATGTATTATCTGTCATTTTTTTATTTAAAGTCCTTCTGTTATCTTGACATTCAAACAATTTATCTTGAAGAATGATTACTTGCTGTTTAGCTGTTTCAACAGCATCCAATCCTGTCAACTGATGATACCACCTCCACCACTTATCAATTATTTTTGGCAATGGTGTGCTTGGTTCTAATGATTTCACACTTAAATTTTGTATGATACTGGTCTGGTTAAGCTTCTGCAACATAAAAATAAATAATTACATATAACAATTCTCATATTGTATATACAAAGTCCTCCAGAAACCAATGTTTTCCTAAATTTTTTGTATTAAATTTTTTCCTTAATAAAAATATAGCAATTAAAACTTTTGATTAATTAAATTTTAAAAATAACATTCCTGCTAACACAGTTCAATTGCTATTATCTGATTAAGAAATTAAAAAATAAAATCCATTAGACCATGTGAAAATCACAATATCATTATACAAACTTACAATCAAATTCTTACAAAAAAGTGACAAACATAAGACTGTAACTTAACTTTGGATAAGAAAATTATATTCATTATAAAATTCAATTATTTTGTTACAATACAGAAATAAAAAAAATTTCGTCTAATATTTTTATTTAAAATATCTTGACAGGTTTTTTAAAATTACCTTGCTTATATATTACTAACCTTCGTAAAAAAATTATATTTCTCTACGATACTGTTTTGTTCATTAAAAAATTTGCTGTGTGGTATCTCCGAAACATTTTTGGTAAGTCCCTTTACATTGTGAAACATCCAATACTTTTCCACTTGGCCTTTCACCAAATTAACCAATCTTCGATAGTGTTCTGTCATCATATGAAATACAGAAACTAATAAAGTAACCTAAACGATAAAATCAAAAAGTCACACGTTGACAACATTCCCCTGAACCAGCAGAAATCTTTCTCTCTACCTATCTGCCTCTCTTAGGCCGGTATTTATAGTCGGATTTTATATTTAAGACCATCTTAAGTTTATCTTCAGATATCCCATAGCCAATGAAATGATCCATACATCTTCACATGAACTTAAGACGGTCTTATATATAAGTCCTTAGGCCAGTACATAGTCGGGTCGTATATATAAAACCTTCTTAAGTTTATCTCCATATTCTATACGATTTATTTTATTGGCTAAGAAGCATCTGAAGATAAGATATTCTTAAATATAAAATCTGACTATGAATACCGGCCACATAGTCAGACCTTGGGCTTGTTCTATAATACACCGTATAGGTTGGGACGCTGCCGATGGTCCAATGAGAAAATTAATTCTTCGAAAAAGAATTTTCCTCATTAGACCATCGGCTGACATCCGATGATATGATATTGTAAAACAGACCTAATATGAGCTTTAGAAAGCTAGTTACAATATTATGATGAATGAACGCAGCGGGCGTCTAATGGAACGGCATGATTTGGGCGTTGCGAGCATGTAGCGAAATGCACTTAAAGCAAGATTATGAACGAGGAGTAGGTGAAAATTCATACAATTTCTTAATAGCAGAAAAGCAGCAACCAATCAGAACTCGTGCTGGTAGCCGACAGTTTCTGCTCTATCTACTGCTTACTATCAGTGCGAGTTCTGATTCGCTGCTGCTTTTCTGCTTTTTTCAAGAGGTTTGTCGAGTTACTTGCACTTTTAACATTTTTGCATCTAATGCCCGTTGCACACCGAATGCAATGAGCGATATCCAATGACAGCTCTTCTTTTTAAAGAAAGACCAATGTGCAACGTGCGTTAGGTATAAAAGTGTCAAAAGTGCAAGCAATACGAACAAACCTAAGGTGTGTGAATTCTCCCTGACGCCTTCTGCACACAGAAATGCTTGCTGCGTGACAAAAAGCGACGATAAACTTTTAGTTTTTTGTGGAAAAACTGCACGTTGATTGGCTACCGCGTCACTTCTTGTTGCGTTTCCGCGTCCTGTGCGCCATTACGGCAATTCATGTGCCCAATCTGGCAACCCTGGTTTGGATTTACTTTTGTAGAGAGCGCTCCGAAAAGAAAGTCCCAACAACGCCATATGGTTTGGTCACATTCAGGCTTCTCTTTGATGGTTGATATGTAAAAAACGTATTAAAGACGCAAAGAGCTATAAGAAGTGTGGAAAACAGTGACGTATACGCATGACGCGGCTATAAACAGAAGTTGACTATTGATAATTGTCAAGTGGGCGATAACATGGCTTTCATGCGCACATCAGTTACTTTATATGTAAGAACTAGTGAATCGCCCAATAGATGTGATTCGTATTATTTCATTCTTTTGTCGCTTATGTGAATTATTAACGCGTTAAATTAGATAATTTTTACAGCAAAGTATGAGCCAAGTTATATTGTAGCAGATGTGTGTGAGAAGAGTCTTGGAAAACAATGCAAAGCAGTGAGACTTAGAACATAACAATTTTTTATAGTGACTGCATTGTTATAAAAGACGTACGTAGTGCAATAAAAAATGAGTTGGTTGCGGAACAGTCCGCTGCAAACAAGCTTCAGCAAGCAGCGATCCAGAGATTCGCCTCCGAAAGATGCTGATCCGTCTGCATGTTACGACAGCTTCTGCAAGCATTGGCAACAGACTTATGAAATTATCCTATATTCTTTTGTAAGAACAATTCCTTTTTCATAAATGGAACATATCAATTTTGTTGAAAGTTAAATATTCTGTTAAATATTGTATTTTCTGCATGTCATAAAAAGTTGACTATGTTTACATAACAGTCGAAGACTGTTAAGAAGTAACCATATTTTATGACTTTGTTTATACAAAGTGGCCACGTTCAACAGAATATTTATTTTGCAACTGTCAGAAGATTGCTAAGATTGGATTATTCTTTTAGATCTAAAAGAATAATCCGGTCACAGCACAGAAAACTTCCAACAGTTGTAAAATAAATGTCCTACTAAACACAGCCAATGTTAACATGGTTTAGTAACAACCGTAGTTAATAAGCTCTTAAGAATTAAATCAAAATATATTTTTACGTCTAAAAGAATATACCAATTGGATGCTAGAATTTACCAACTATAGCTATTACTAAATCAGATTAACACTGCTGTATAAACATAGTTTATGTTTACATGAATAACAAAATTGATTTGACAATTTCTGTTATTGTAACTATTAGTATTACATATGCTATATAAGCAATAATGTTATACAGGATGTTGGATGCAAGTCATATCATCCATCATATATCTGTAGTTTAGGTCAATGTAAATAAAAAATCTCCCAACAATTTGCAAACAACCACGCAAAATTTCGAGTTATTAATTATTGAAAATGGCCATGTTTAGAGGCTTGTTTAATTAATAACTCAAAAATTTGTGCGACTATTTGCAAAATGATTGAGGAATTTTTTGTTTAATATGATCTGATCTATAAATATATGACAGCTATTGTAGCGATAGACATCAGTATATTGAACCTTGAACCTCGGACCTTAAACCTACCGCTAGTTACAACAGTCGCCATGTAGAATAACTTATTTCGGAACAGATTTGAAAAAAAAGTGCTGTACCTTTTACATAAAGCCTTCTAAAATAAATCTAATATATGCTGCTTAAAGGGTCATCTTTTACCTACAAACTAGGCATAAGTTAATGTTTGAAGGAGGCTTTGTTTTGAAATAGCAGGCAATCAATTGAAGCACTGCATTTTTTCAAATTAGATTCAACTTGCACCTAATTTGAGATAGCTGAGTTCTAACCTGTGGCTTACGTACGATACCTAGGAAAAGTTGTGGTGGAAATAACATTACTCCCATTCTTCAAGACTATGGGAGAAATTAGAAATGTTCCAAATTAGGTTCACGTATCTATTTCGGAACAAAACTTTCCGTGCAAAACTGATCAGTAGAAAGTTTAAATTTATATATAACATCAAATCAAAGAAAAAAAAAACCCTTAAACCCAAAACAAACAAGATTTAAGAAAATGTTAGGCAAAAATTATATACAAAAAGATATTATAGCCGATATTCATAGACGGATCTTATATTTAAGGTCGTCTGAAGTTTATCTTCAGATACTGTACGGCTTATTTCATTGGCTACAATGTATCGAAAAGTAGAATAAAAAGTATGTTTAAAAGATCTAAGATGACTCGACCTGAACCTAAGGACAGCATGCCAAAATCAACCAAAGTCATCATTTTATCTTAATTTCAAACATAATTATTTTAAGATAATGGGTTGGTTTATTTATTAACTTCTGAGTTAACTCATAACTCAGAAAGTACTTAGTGAAAAAATACTTTATTACAGTATTTTGAAAAAGTCTTGAAGTCAGCTACAAAAATGTGAAATAAAAATAGAGGTTTCTATTTTTTAAAAATTTTAATTGATGACTTGGAATTAATGACTTTGACCTGAGCTTGAAAAGGTCACTCAAGTCCATATTTTCATCATATGTTCCCCTCCAAGCCATGCAACTTTTGTCTCGAAAATTTTGGTCTGTGATGAGTTACAGAAAAGATATTAAAATGCATTATTTAACATAGGATATCTTGAATATATTTTTGCATTATAAAGAATTTGAATATTTAAACATGTATTTTCTGACTATTTATCCTGAAACAAAACCACATTAAAATTCTTTGTTCCCCTCGATGAAACCTACAATTTAACAAAAAAAAAAAAATGGAGTCGATCGGACGACGTCGAAATTTTGACTAATTGGTTTAAAACGAATGTGCAACAAAACGGCGGGCTATCTGCATCTGGCATTCTAAGGTTTTAATATTCAACGAACCCTACATTTTAAGCCTACTCTTGTCCAAAAAGCGCGTTTTCATTTTTGGCCCCCTCCTTGTAAGACATACGAATAAGTACCATCGTATTATCATTTGTTTGCACAAAACTCTGAAATTGTCAGCGAGAAATTTTTGTCGGGGTTATTGAATGCACATGTTTGGGAGAACTTCCAGACTTTCGTTTTCAATTTTTTTTTCTAACTTTTTTTTTTTTTTAACTGTAACATTTCATAGAGTAAAACTACTGTCATTTGTTTACACAAGCCATCGTGGCTTCCAAGATTTGATTCTTAATTATTTTTTTTTTATTTTTCTCAAGTTATTTTTTTTTAATTTTTGACATTACACAAAATTTAAAGATGGTATAATTTCGTGGCATAAGATGCTAATATTTCTCTTTAATAATATGAGATTTCAATGTTTTTTTAATTTTTTTCGTTTTTCTTATTTATTTATGTTGATATTATCACTTTTAATTCGGTTTTATTGTTTTTTGCATATTTTTGTTTTTTTGTTTATTTTGGGATAGAACGTGACAAGAATTATTTTTAATTTTCGCCCGAAAATCGTTCCAAACTTTTCACCACATCTATTTTAAATATTATTTTATCTTTTCTAATTTTATAAAAATATTTTACTATTAAATATAAATGCTTTAAATAGCATCTAATTGTACACTCAAATAATATCTGAGAAATATATAATCTTATTTCTAAGTTTTAAGAACAGAAATTATCCATCATTAAATGTTGATATACAAAAGTTTCCAACTTAGAAAAATTAAAACAAACTTAATCTGTCTTTTAATAATTCAAATAAATTATGTCCAGTAAATGATCAATTTGCACATTTTTCAGCCTCCTAAAGGGATACCTAGTCAAGATGATGTACTTGGAGTTGTTAATCATATTGATCAAATGGTGACATTGTTAATGCTAGAACGGGATTTGAGTTCACACAATCACTACCGACAAGGCAATACTGCAACGCATTCTCCATGCTTGGAACATTTATTAAGTGAAAATTTACTTGTTAAGCTTTATGATTGGAGTTTGCATACAGGAAGGTATACTTTTATTTTTATAACATTTATATATATTTATATCATAAGTATTTCTAATACAGTTATGCATAACTTTACTCGAGTTCGAAAATTAACAATCCTATTGCACGCGGACCGATTCCGCGGGTAACACTAATATCAGCATTATGTATGGATACCTGTATCATACGACTATTCGCATCACACGAATTCTATGTATATCAGAACTAGAATTCCCAAAAATTAACGAAATAATAAATTATTTACAATTACAATTTTATATTTACGATTTCAGTATAATCCGTACGATGCGGGTACCCGTATGATGTCGTATCATACAGGTATCCATAGAATCGGTCCTGACCTACGGCTATTGCTCGGGCATTCCGAGCTCTAAATTTTACCAGTATATTGTAACAGCAACATTATCATAATACTATGAATAATTTCCATTACAGATTCAATAATGCCGTAAGATTGGAACAGATAAAACTTTACGAATTACTAGTCTCACACAGTGGCACTCTTCTCGCACACGAATCAGTTACGAGGCCACTTCTACGGTTATTAGAAGAATGTGCGAATGACATTATGCCATTAGAGGTAGAAAAGAAATTAGTAGTATTATTAAATCAGTTATGTGTAGCCTTGATGCAAAATATGGCTTTACTTGACTTGTTTTTTCATCCTACCGCACCTGGGAAAAATAAGTAAGAATTTATTGTAACAAAATAGATATTTTATATAAATCTCTTTACCGAAAGTAAAGAGTAAAGTTACTAAATATATATAATATTGACTTTCAGATTCATTATATTCAATCTATTGATACCTCATGTTCATAGAGAGGGTGGTGTTGGTCAGCAAGCGCGCGACGCTATGTTATTGTGCATGTCACTCTCAAAAAAAAATGACGAAGTGGGATTATACATCGCTGATCATTCTAATATATGTCCTGTAAGTAATACAGTCACTGCGTCGCTCTGAATTGAAATACATTTGCAGAAATATTGAAACATTTGTATAGTAAGGGTCTTATTTGTATTTACTTAGGTATTAGCTACAGGCTTGAGTGGCCTTTATTCTTTACTTCCACGAAAACTTGACATTGAGACAGATGATTGGTATCAATTGACACCAGACGACGTGAATGATTTACCTGCGCTTATGCAACTCATGAATTCTTTGGAGTTTTGCAATGCAGTCGCGCAGGTAGCGCATCCAATGATACAGAAACAGTTACTTGAATTTTTATATCAAGGTTTTTTGGTACCTGTGATGGGTCCAGCATTATTACAAGTAAGTATTCATTTAATGAAGGAATAGTTATATAAAAAGATTTCTCGATATCAATATTTCGTGTGAATTAGTATCCAAACTAGTGGAAACTTATGAGCTATCGAGAGCTTAGATTTTATTTTTAATAGTTCTGTTGTTCGCTGATAAGTGAAATAAGATAAAGATTTTTTTATCTTATTTAAAATAAGATAATATAAACTCGGATCTACATCTCAGACGCCTATCGCACTGCTACACACTGCTTTGAATTTTGATTGTGCTACTCTGGTCTATATATGACGCTGAAATCTTTTTTCTTATAAACTGGAATCCATCTTTCTTTATACATATCCACAGAGTTCGTTCTATCATTTCCTGTTGCGTTCATTCGCTCATATTGTTTAATTAGTTTCCCAGTTACTATTGCAAAACTACAATATGGTACATAATTTTCCTACTTAGTTTGACTTGTTCTATTTGTTTCTACACGAATGCTATGTCAAAAAGTATCGGACACCTTGCTGTATATGTATGGAGTTGGGTGAAAATCTTCCAGGACGGTTGAAACGATGCATTTATATTTATATACACTTATATTTATCTTTCAACGTAGTCTCCTCTAAGGTCGATACATCTAGACTACTACTTTTCAAGACCTTTCGTTCCTTTAGTAAAGTAAGATTTTTCCGATGTTATTTGAAAAGTTACAAAGTACCTATGTGCAACCGTTATTCAATAGAATTTGTTCTTCAATAATTCCTAGAAGTTTACATCTCCCATTAGACATCGGCTGTGTTTCAAACAGTATCGAGAAAAAAGCGTTTAAGTCACGTTGAATCCGAATATAGCAGTGGAGTGCCGGTCAATTAACATTAAATGAAAATTTATTTTATTCAGTACTGGAAAGAAATGTATAAACTATTAACGGTATTATAGAATATTTTGTGTTAAATTACTAAAGAAGAATTTGTCTACAAAACTTGATCTCACATATTATTTGTAATTTTACTTACAATTATTTCAAAATATTTACAGACAACTGTGGAAGAATTGGTTGCAGCAACAGCTTATTTTGATTTGTTTCTTCGATCTGTAACCGATCCTGGCTTGTTACGGTCACTTGTTAGATTCCTACTTGAAGATAATTATGACGACTGTAGAATACTGGACAGTCTGATACAGAGGATTTCTTCTCGATCAAGGGTAAACTATAAAGTGTCCTTTTTTTTTATTACTTTTTAAAGAACATCTTCAGAACAAACTTGTTCTTAATATTTCATTTCTCCAATTTAGTTATGTATAGTAACTCTGGCATTGTTTGAAACTCTGGTTAATTTAAACTGTGAAGACGTTATGCTGGAATTATGCTTGGGTGCGTTAAATCCGTGTTCACATGTAATGCTTTCCCAACGTAGTCGATTGAGAGATGTAGATCCCTTTGGACGTGCAGCGGAGAAATTTTTATTCTTGACACCACGTTGTTGTTGTTCCATATTTATATCGTCGGACTCGCACACAAACTCATTACCTGTCACTGTGTCATGTACGTATGACAAATATGGGAATACTATGTCTGACTCGATGAAATCATTACCAGCATCAATAAATTATGGTACTAGATTAACGGACAGCTTGTATGGAAATTATCATGCGTACCTTTGCGATGCAAGACAAAAGATCAGAGCTTGCCGGATTGCATGTTCTAATTGGTCTTGCCGATACGACGGTAATTTACCAGCAAATAGCAATACTAGCAGTATAACTACATTGATAGACGAAAATATTATACCTGATCATCAATCGCAACAGAAAGAAACAGAAGAATCGAAAACATTGCTGCTAGAAACAATGAAGAATACAATAAGTTTGTGTGAGAATGAGAAAGGTTCGCAGATGGATAGTATATTGCTTAATATTCAGTCTTTATTGTCAGAAGGCAAAGATTTCAATAGTAACGAGCATAATATTAAAAACGAATTGAACGCGAATATTGCATTATCTCTGGACGAACAAGTACAATTAGATGCTGATATCGCCGAATTGTTCAACGAAGATATTGGAATGACAGAATATACAAAAAAAATTTGTTTAGATAAAAAAGAATCAGATAATTGTATAGACGAATTGACCACGGCTATGAATTCGCTTATGTCGCTAGGAGAGAGTAGTGGTTACGAGAGTTTTGCATTAAAAGGATCAGCGGAGTCAACACCGAACAATGAGCCGAACGAAGATCGTATGAATGAACACGAAGATATTCATATATCAGTTAGAAAGAAGTTCTCTTCTCCGTTAATTCGAAAGGAGCTTAATAATCATGTTTTCTGTGATGCCGTAGAATCAAATTCTTCAACAACTACGGAAACATTACCAAATAATAAATCAAATAAAGATATTTCGTATCGACAAGATGTTTTTAACGGACAGCCAAATGTTGGTATATTTTTAGATGTGGTTTTACGGAAGCTCGAATGCATGACAAGCAATAACTTGTATGTTAATTTACATCTCACTGGTCTTATCAGCAGACTAGCAATATATCCACAACCATTGTTACAATCTTTTCTGTTGAATCATTCTCTTGTATTCCAGCCTAGCATCAGATCTTTATTTCAGGTACATATCTGTCAAAAAACCAAGTTCTAATTATATATATATATATATATGTGTGTGTGTGTATAATTCATTGATTGTATAACTTATTACTATATGTATTATTCACTAATACACACACGCGCACACACAAATTAGGTGGCTCATCAATATTTATCACAAAATATATCCGTTATTTTTACGAATAGAATATAATGTTTGAGAGTGGGATTGTTTAATTCGAAAAAAATGCATATTATAATTATCATAAGTGGGCAAATTAATTCGGTGCTTTTTTGAAGAAATTAAGCTTTTATTTACGAAAAAATATTAAACATGTCATCTTCGAAATATTCGCCATCATTTTCTATTATTTTTCTCCATCCATCGGACAGTTGACGAATTCCCTCTCGAAAAAAAAAAAAAGACGGCGGATTTGAGTCGATAAAATCGATGCATTTTCGGTCCTCTTCTACACTTTCAAAGTGTGTATCGGCCAAGTGGTGTTTGAGTGATTGGAATAGAAAGTAATCAAAAAAGGCTAGGTCCGATGAGATACCTATGGCCTCTACTATCTCGCGTAATTTTACTTGCCTGGCGGGCAAAACCATATCATAGACTTAATCGATAGTTCCTAGCGTGACAGCTATTTTCGGACCTGGTGCATCTTTGATGTTTGTTCTGCCACGTTTGAATTCGTTTACCCAAAGTCGAACGATTTTATAGGAAGGACATGAGTCACCGAATGTAGGAAAAATCCTTTCATGGATTTCTTTCGCTATTTTACCTTCCAAAAAAAAAAGGATTAAATCATACCTCGAATTCCAATTTTATCCATTTTACACTACCGCTCGATACGCTTGTATTGAAACAATTGTCAAACAAAGAAATAATAGCAGAATGACTTGAAACTTGTGAGTTATTATAAAAAAAGGAAAGTATATGACCACATATACAGTTATTGCTCATGCCTCGAGTATGATTGCCCGAACCAAGTTACTCTTCAAACCATCTTTGTAGATATTTGATCGAAAGAAAGTTCTCCAAACAACGATAAAATATCCGATGATTTTTTTGCTTTTCACCGAAAAACAAAGCTTTTTCTATCCGAAACGAGGAATTGTAGTAATGTTTTACATTTGGATTTTGTAGTGTCAAAAATTGGTATTAAACACACCACTTCCAAGTAGTGTATCGATAGAGCGATTATTCAACGTTGGATGCATGCTTCATATTAACAATACACAGAGGATGCCTTCACGGCGGTATAATGGAGCATTAACTCCTACTAAAAGTTAATAAGAAACTTTAGTAAAATACGGGTTCATTTATCTAACCAAAAATCTTTAGAAATGCAACTTTTTATCCTTAACTTATCTTTAACAAATGTATCTTTAACAAATAGACATACGCTTTGACTTATATCAAATAAAATAACGAAAATATTAACGATTCGTTACTTTTTAAGTAACGATAACAAGTTATTTTTTTAAATTAGCATCAATAACAGGAACGAGTTTTTTTTTAATCGGTAACGAGTAACAATAATTTGTTACTTTTAAAATATAATTTTTCCAACCCTGAAACCCCATAGAGTATTTTTTTAAGCATACTCTGTACCGCAAGTTGTATGTCGATATCATTAATAGTTCAGGCGGTATGTTGTCAACGCGATTGTAAAAAATTGATTTCGAGAAAAATAGGTTTAAAATTTTACTTTTTCTTATCTACTAAAGATAAGATTCAGATTAAAATAGGAAACGTTTTTTAAACGTATTTTAATCTTAATCTTTAGTCAGATATTTCCGGACCATAGAAGAAGTTTTCTTCAGCAATGGAATCTCCCTCTTGCTTGAAGAATCCTCAGTACGGCTACTTGAAGCATCATGGGTAGCATGTTGCATGTGACGTTCTACACAATACATACGATGTATATCTTTCTCTTCACAATATTTTTGAAAGTTATCTCCAATATTAATATTCAAAAGCTTGGAAATTTGGGCTTTGTAGCCTTTATAAACATCGTAAAATATAATGGTGGCGATGTCAGCTGCAATTTGTACAATTGAAGTACCGCTAAATAATGCCTTTGGAGCTGTTTTCCATATAAATGGCATTCAAGCTTTCGTTGGTACTTTGATTGAAATCACCCAAACATCGTTCCAGCAGATCTTCTTTGCTCAAATCTTTATAAACTGACTTAACTCTGTCAAAAAAATCAGGAAATTTCTTCTTACACACATACTTTTCCAGTTCATTTCTTGCTTTTGCTATGTACACTACGATTCTTCTCTTTCTAGACAAAAGAGGTACTGAGAATTTTTATCGGTTGAACTTTTATGATGAAAAGTGGCCCAAATAGCATTATACATTTTTTTTTTTAATATTTTTTAATAGAGTCGTTATTTTTACGCTATTATAAGCTGTTAATTTCTCAATTATTTTTCCGGTAAGTTTTTCATTCCCACCGAGACTGGACAATATGACTGTATTATTATTAAACAACTTTGAGAGCATTTTCTGCTACTTTCGACACTTTGTTAATATTTTCTTAGCACTATAAATTTCGTATTTTAGCCTTCGTAGGCCCATTTCTTAATTCGTTTAGTTGTACATCTAGGGGTTTTGCATATTCTACGAGAGCAGTCCGATAAGTACTTAGCCTACAAAAGAAAAACGAAAATTTTGGAAAAGTGGCGATTTATTTCTCAACATAGTCTCCTTTTAGTTCGATACACTTGATCCAGCGATGTTCCAACTTCTTTAACCCATCTGAAAAATACTTTTTCTCGAAGTCTGCAAAGTAGGCCTCCGTGGCGGCGATGACCTCCTCATTCGGCCAAATTGGTCGAATTGGACTACGAACTACTGCCCCATCCACCATATTCTCCAGATTTGGCCCCGTGCGACTTTTTTTTTGTTTCCAAACTTGAAAAAGTCACTTGCCGGGCAGAAATTTGAGTCGAATGAGGAGGTCATCGCCGCCACGAAGGCCTTTGCAGACTTCGAGAAAACGTATTTTTCAGATGGGTTAAAGAAGTTGGAGCATCGCTGGGTCAAGTGTATCGATCTAAAAGGAGACTATGTTGAGAAATAAATCGCCACTTTTCCAAAATTTTCGTTTTTCTTTTGTAGGCTAAGTACTTATCGAACCGCTTTCGTATTTAATTTCCTTGTTAGTCAATTTCTAAGAACGCTTTCTAATCCATTTTACATTTTTAATTTTTCAAATATCTTCATAATTATTTGTTTAATTGCTCAATACCCGTAATATTATATAAAATCGCAATATATAATAGACCGTGAAGCATCTTCGAGCCCGAAATCGCACAAACCATCAACTGATTATTTGATTTGACATAGCATCCTCTCCGTAAACGTTGCAAATTTCATGGGTAGTCTTTATCACGATATTTCCTTTCCGAAAGTAAAAAAGCATAACATTGTGCAAATGAAACTTTTGGCTGTACATTTTCGTGTTCGCGCCATCCAACATCGCCTGTTCCATTTGTCAACACCAGACCCGTATTTGAAAAGGCAAAACGCCTTTTCCCAAACGAGCCTATCAACCTCGGCCCACGCACTGCCGAGCAAACTAATTCCAAGCGCGATAAATGGCACGGATTCTCGGAATTTTTCGGATCTAATGTACTTCATCTTACTTATTAGGTTTTCATTAGTTTTCCATTTAACTTCGTTTAGTATCAAAATATTTTATTTGTATATTTCTTATTAATTATGGGTATTTTTAACTATAAAATATAATAAATATAGTAAAAGATACAAATAATATACATCAGTAATATACGCATATTTGACAAATAGTTGAAGCCATTTTTCTCGCAAACAAATTTTATATGAAAATATTTTACATTTTCGATTTATTTTTGCATATAAAATATTTATCTTTTCGGTTGCACCACTGGTTACAGAGCATTCTATGTATGCATTCGCGCTTATGTGTGTGTGCGTGCGTGTCACATATATAATTAATAAATAAATATAAGTATATATATATATATATATACTTATTTATTTAGAAGCAGATATTTTTCTTAAAAGGATATTACTATTATTACTGTATAAATTTGTTGCTTGTATTATAAATTCAAGTATCACACTTTGACAAAATGACTTCTATTTCAGGTGCTTGCATCGTTAAAGCACAAAATAGACCATTTTCTTTCAAAATATGACAATGTGGATTTATTGGTTGAACAAGCAAGATTATTTTTGATTAATCGGGAAGATAAATTAGTAAATGCAAGGAAAAATGTATTACAGGCTGCCGCTCAATCTTCATCTGCTAAAAAGCATTCTCTAACCGGTGAATCATTCATGAGAGGTATCATTCATTTCACAAGTATATTTCACAGCAATTCGACTGGAGAGGATACACTAGTACACACCAATGTCCACTAAACTAGTATTCATAATCCATTTTTATATTTAAAATCGTCTTAAGTTCATCTACAGATGCTATTGTCAGATGTACGGATCTATCAGATGTGCAAATCGTTTCATTAGCTACAGAACATTTGAAAATAAACTTCAAATGATCTTAAATATAAAAAAGGACTATGATATTGGCTTTAGTGCGTTCTAATGGATCTTGGACTGGGGTAGCATCCAGTCGACATCGCAGAAGTTTGTATATTATGTTTCTATTATAATTTAAGAACACGTGCACACATATATATATTACATTTAGTTGAGTTATATTAATTAAATTTTTTCAAATTATGCTGTGTACGTGGGAAGTATTTAAAAGACGTATGTATTACAATACAAAATATTTTTACACATAATGTACATGTGTATACTTTATAAATTGTGTCTAAAAACATTAATGTTTGCAGGGGAATTAAAAAGGAGAAGCTTAACATCATCATTTACACAAATGTTCAGACGATCAAGTGGTATCTTAGGCCCGAGCAGCTTAGTAAGCTCTATCAGTCAGCCGTCTAGTATATCAGAGGACCAACTTCAAATTGTTGGGTCTGGATATAAGTGAGTCACTTAAATCACCGTCGTTATACGGAAAATGTGAAGATATTGCTATAACATTAAATTTTTTTCTTCTCTAATAGATATACTAAAACATCGTGGGAATCACCAAACGAAGTGAGCCCAGTGCAAAATGTAGTTCTTTGCGCTATTATATTAGACGAGTGGCTTAAAGAGCTTGCAGCAATTACTCAAGAACACGCAATTATGTCTCTCACAGATAGTATTAGATTTAAAATTTAACATATAAGTTGGTGAGAAACTTAAATTGTAAAGAAACAATATAATAATTCCTATAATTAGGTTTGTTTTCTTGACAGAATTATAATTTATCGTTGTATTATATTGTAATTACATGACATGTAATAAAAGAAATTAAAACTACAATAAAGAAAAACCATGTTCATATAAATCTTATCACATTTCATTTCAATTAAATTAAAACCAATCAATTGAAAGCAATAAAAAAATTCAATGCATATTTTAGCAATAAAAAGAGGAAGAAGAAGAGAAAGGTGTATCGAAGTATGAAAGTTGGATAACTTAAAAGAGCAATATCTGGCAAGCGAAAGGTTCAATTTTTGATCCACTTCTCTCACACTCCTGATTTCTCCCTATTCTTATATATTTATTCAAAAAATTTTATAACCGATTTCTACAAACGTTTCTTATGAGATAAAGCTACATTCAAAAAAACATTAAATATAATGTTTCACGAAAAAAACTATTTGAGAAATCATCATGAAAATAAAATTTGAAAATATGATGAACAATACGCAACAGCAATAAATTATATGCAAATGAAAAATTGAATAAAAAATAATAACAAAAACAGCAAAAATAACAACGTCCACATAATATTAAATATTTTCTGTATATATAATACATAAATATGTGGCGGTCGAGCCTCGCCCGCCGTCACCGGCGGCGCCACCGTCTAGAGCGGCTTCGCGTATGAGGAAGCAAGTTCTGCAACTGCACCCGGTCTTCTGATCGGCGCCAGTGCCACCCGGTTTTTCCGGCGCGTCGCGCGCACCACCGGAACACGAAAGTGTCACGCGACCCCGCCGGCCAACCACGCGTTCCGTAGCGCGATCGCGTTTTGTTTTCGAAAACGTCCCGGCGGTCGTGCCAGGATCCCGGCTCGCTCTCTTCTCTCTCGGGCTCTGGACAACACTTTCGTGCTCGTGAGTACTCCCCGGTGTTCACCTTTGTGCGTTCCGCCTCCCGCGATTCCGCATCAACTTAGTGCCCGCGAGCGCGAGTGACATCCCCGGTGCCGCGCGTCGTCCTCGTGACGCCTTTCATCGCCGTTCGCTCTCGCGACCATCGCGATCATCACCCTGGCGACGTCTTGCGCGGCCTGCGTTTCGTATCTCTCTCCGCGTGAGAGAACGAGCCGGCTCTGCGTCATAGCGAGCCGAGCTCCCACTGTAAATAGCGTTCCGATTTCTGCGTCCCGCGCAGCGGCCATTTTTGTTCTCGCGCGACCATCTCGTTCTGCGTTGCGGCCATTTTGTTCTCGCGTGACCACAGCGTTCGGCGTCGCGGCCACTTCTACGCCGCTTTCCATAGTTTTAGCTCATCATTATCATTTGTTACGTTTACGAGTTTGTACTTATCTAGAAAATACAGTTGCATGTGAGTAGTCATAAGGACTCCGCTTTATTAGCGCTCACCCACAGGGCTACCCGTACTGGAGACCTTTCTCTCCTCTTCATTCTTTCAGCACGCGCGGTGGCCATAGGCCATACCGTGCCCCCACAAATGCTCTATAATATGCAAAAAATATTCTGTACATGCATGTACAGAACATGAGTTGAATGTACATGACGATACATACTATGTATAAACAGTAATGATTTTATTATGTATACACCTCATAAAATCGTATGTCTATGATATGAATATACATATTTTGCCAATGTACTTACAAATAATGGTTTCTGCCCACAGGCAGAACTAAGCTCGCCGCGCGGCGGAAGTTCGCGCAGTAGCCAATCAATATGCCGTTTTTCGGTAAAAACTAGAAGATTATTGGCTACTGCACGAACTTCCACCGCGTGACAAGTGTTACGGCGTCCTGTGGGCAGAAGCTATAACCGGATAGAAACGTCTCCCTTCGACTTTGATGAGCTTGTAATATATTGTACTCTTGATCAAAATAAAGCCCGTATCAGACTACGGATTAAGATTGAGATTGAATTAAAATTTAGTCAATCAGAACAAGATTCACTAAACTTGAGTTAAAATTGGTGCATTGATGCTTCTTAGAACTGATATTCATAGTCTGATCTTTTTGTCCCCATTAAACGATGTTCGTTTTCTTGATAGATTTAGTAACATACTATAAATTAACCAATCATAACGCAACGTTTCCAGTTTTTAATAGATTTATCAAGAAAATAAGCATCGTTTGACACGGACTTTATATTTAAGACAGTCTTAGATCGGTATTTATAGTCGGATCTTATATTTAAGTTCTAATCTACAATAAATGCTTTAATGTCGATCCACAATAAGTATTTTACCTTAAGCCTTCAGAATCTTGACAAATCACAATCGAATTATAGAATAATCAATTGTGATTGGCCAATTTCTTAAGGCTTAGAGCTTAAATTCTTATGGCTTCTGCTCACAGGACATGGCAATGCTTGCCGCTTGGCGGAAGTTCGCGTAATAGCCAATCAACATGCCGTTTTTTGATAAGAACTGGGAGGTTATTGACTACCACGCGAATTCTCGCCGCGCGGCAAGCCGCGTTGCTATGTTCTGTGAGCAGAAGCCATTAAAGCCAGTGGCACACGATGCTTGTTTTCTTGCTGGATTGTTTGCTGGATAGATATACTGCGTTTTGATTGGTGTATTATCATCCATTTTTGGAAATACATCAATCAGAATGCAGTATTTCTATCCAGGAAGCAATCCAGCACGAAAACAACCATCGTGTGTCACTGGCTTAAGCTAGTCATAAAGCTAGTTACAACAGTACGCCGTGTGCGTCTAATGGAACGGCTCGTGGAACTATTTGGACATTGCGAGCGTGTAGTGGAACGTACCCTATGACGCATCAATAAAAATATATGCGTTGCCATTCTCAGCTTTTCCTGTAGTTCTCTATTCATGTGGTTGCAGAGTCGTCTAACAGTTGAAAATGGCTGCTTGAAGAATAACGATTAATATATCTGCGAAAATGTATCCAGTTACGATGGAAACTCTCGATACTACTACATTATTTACACGGATTACTACAGGCCCAAGAACAAATTTAGAAAACTCAGATTTAAAGAACAAAGCCTTATTTGCCTGTATCGATTACGATTTCACGAAGAATTCGTTGTACCACGAGCATTATTATTCATCTGATTATATTTGTCACACCTGCAAAGACTATATTTCTCGTGAGTATATGTGCGTATTTATAATGCGCTGTATTTATTTATGCATGCTTTTAATGGTCTCGTAAATAGTAATTTCACATATTAATGTTAAGGCATGTCCAAACTTAATCACTGTGACTCTCCTTAATGATGTCAGAAGCAAGGAAACGTATACCAAAAAAATGTATTCCCCGACCTGATAAATATATTCTATCTTGATATTGGAAAATAGTTTTGTCTTTTCAAAGCAATTTTGTTGCTTGTTTCTTTGTAATATTTAAATGTATAATACAACATAATATTTAAATATATAACACAAACAGAAGAAATTTAGACCAATATAATATAATATCACATGCTTCTACTGTTATTCTGCTATTATTATTAAATGGTTTAAAGCATGAGCAGCGCAAATATAAATTTGCTATGAATATATAATTAATTCCTAATAATCTAATCAATGCATATATGTTTCAGCACACAGAAATTTTAGAAGAACACGAAGAAATAGCTTTCAGACAGACAACTAATTACATAATATTTAAATTTCCTGATATAACGTCTAAAATAGAAAATTTGACAATGCGTGATAATAATGTACCTGATCCTTCGCGACACATCAATGATTACCACGAAAAAGATGATGATAAAATATATAATTCACAAGAAAATCCATTTAAACCACGAACAATTTCGGAAGAATCCACTGATTCTGAAGATAGTTACTATATAGTCTTTGAAACTAAATCAGATACAAGGATCATGGACGATATTGACTACAATGAGACAAGTTGCGAAGATGAAGATGGCGAAAACAATGAGGAGTTAACACAAAAGGTATTTAATAATCTTTCATAGTTCTAGCTATCTTGAATCATGATATATTAATTGTCACAGATTTTAAAAAATTAGAAACAAACCAAGAAAAAAGGAAAGATATGTTTTTTTTTCATTGAGCTTGGAAATAATTAATTTTTATGGGAAATTTGGTTTTTGTATTAATTGCAATGATATCACCTGCAAGTAACATTATATAAATTATATTAAACATACTATACATGATGAAAATAGAGTATATTTTACATCACACACACACACACACACACACGTTTCGAAGTTAAGAGGATTGAAGTTGCGTTCATAAAAAAATATGAATTGAAATAAATATTGTTTAATGTCCTTTATTTTGTTTAAAGCTTTACATAAAGTGCTTAAAAATTCCTGCGTTGACTTTGACACGAATTTTCTAGCACGAATTAATGTTTCGAGCTGTTTGAAAAATGTTAGGAGTTTCGCGAGTGACATCGGCAGCATTAACTGTTAATTGTCACAGTTATTCGGAATCATGGACCTCATCTTAACAGATTAGATCTCTCGTGTGTTCTTAAAGGAAAAAATCAAGTGGTATAAGGTCGTGACTTCTTGCTAACCATTTAACAGGAGCATCCTGGCCAATCCAATTTGGATAACGATCATGAAGAAACGTTTGCACAGAAAGTGTAAAATGAGTTAACGCTCCGTCATGCATGAACCACACACGTTTCCTCGAATATGGAGATTTACAGAGTGCGGCGCTAGAATCCTGACACGAAAAAGTTATTTCAAAAACGTCGCTTATTTAAGCCAATATTAAATATACAAAAAATGCTTTTGTACACATGTTGAGAGGTTCTTTCGGAGTCCTCCTACTCAATATAACTCTTCTGTGCGGCTATTATCCTCTCGATTCGAAGCGCTCGGTATTTAATTGCGCGTGGCCACAAACGCTGCCTCAATGGCGGCCCGGAGAGAAGTCACATTGGGGTGTCGCAGCTTATCGGTTCAATAACGCTCCATACATAATAATCCAGGGGGCTCAAATCATGACTGTTAGGAAGCCCTTAAACCAAAAGACGTAGTTCGAGAACCAATTTTTCACCAAATGACTGGTGCGAGCGGGTACGCCATCTTGTTGTGAAAGATGTACGGCCTTCCTGAGATCATGGTCTCCATCTAGGGCTTCCCCGCCGTGTTTAGGATATCCATATAAACTTCTTTTCTCCCCATTTGACCTTTTTCAAGGAAGTACGGCAGCATGATGTCTCTGCCGCATAATTTTTCTTGCTGGGGCGGCGAATACTTCTTCATACTTCTCTAAAGCCATGTACTTTTAAGCGATGTCATAAACCGTTGATCGGGGGTACCTGAAGAACCTGATTATCTCAATCTGATGTCCGTCCAGCGCAAAGACTTTCAATGATTGTTGCTCTTCGATTATACTCTGCGCTATTCTTCGCATGTTCCGCCATTTTTATGTCATGAACATCTTATCCACATATGTGGCTTATATTAGCGCCATGTAGCGCCTCCGGCGGGGAACTGTAATATTGCGAGAATTACAAATTGAATTTGATTCTAGCGCCTGTACATCCTCTGTTCCGGTAGGTCATTGTTCACAAAGTGCAAGTAAGCATCTACCGGCAAATGAGGAAGCAGCCTGAAGATTAGGGTGGTCAATAAGAATTCCACCCTACGCATTGACAATGAATTGTCGCTGCATGTGCAATCTTTGGTATACGCGCGGATTTTCTATTGTCCAATGATAATTGTTATGGAAATTGAAAACTCCGCTTCGAGTTTATCAGGTATTTTTGACTTGTTTTCATATGCTAAAGACACTTTTGCACACAATTTTGGCACTGAGTTCAGGGATACCCTATATTATATGCGTTAAAGTGGTGTTTATATTGACAGTTTCCTCGATAACAACCGGTCACGGTAAAATCCTTGTAATTCTTAACCAACTTTGACAAGCTATCTGCAGAAAAATGAGCATCACGTTCCAATCCTTCAAATTTAAATCTTTCGAATTTAAATTGTTCTCTCCTTGTGAGTTCCACGGCTGTCTTGGCGTGAAGCAAAGACGGGGCAGAGGCCGGTTCTCCTTTCCGGAGCGCGAGTTCGCGATTTATAATCACCGCGTTCGCGGATCGTCGCAGCGGAGGTAACGGCTCCCCTTACCATGGTCTATTGATATGCGCGGACATGCGTGATACCTGTGTGATACGTGCATTATGTTTCGCTATATTTTAATTTCGGTGGTGCCGATAATGGCTCGACTAGTGATTAACCTAAGCACTAGTGGTACAACGACGATGCATTGTTACATATTTAAAAATTTATTTAATAGCTACAAGATGGCGGGTAGAAAAACGGGAGCGAGAAACTTGATTTGTAGGATATTTAAGTTATTTTGGCATTTTTAGTTAGTCAATCGAGACATTGGAGAATTTCGCACAGTTATGTGCTCCCGAGAAAAGGAGCGCACATTATTGAAATGATAGATCAGCGGATAGATCGTACAAAGAGGAGGAGAGCAGAATATAGGAGACTGCAGCACATGTAGAAACAAAATGATTGATGATTCAGAACATTCAGGTCGGCAGAGATCATCTCACCATCGATTAACGTTTTGAGCTGGCCTAAAACCTCGCAATTCACACAAAAATTGATTGGAACCGCACGTGTAATAAAACCCTCTCGGTAAAGTGCGAGGTTTGAGCATGCACGATAAGATTCTGCATATGATTTCACTGCTTTCGGGAGTCTTTGAAGACGGAGGGAAGGCGAAGGAAAAAAATCCTGCAATCTATCTTTTGTTTTTGTATTTTTTGCTGGATAAGAGCAATAATCCAAGAAGCAGGTAGTCTGTTTATCGTAATCCTCTTGAATGGAACATGCGCGTGATAGCGCGGAGGAGACATATCCGTTGAAAACCTGCAACATACAGTCAATGGAAGGAGACCGGGAAGAAGGGGGGAGGGGGGAGGAAGACGGAGAGACTTTGTCTTTTTGACATATCGAATAACTACTTCTCTCGACATTTTGGATGTATGCAAAAGAGAGTTTCAAAGTGTTTTATGTATGGGGTAATCATGCTTGAAAACGTCATTCTTTCGAAATGAATTGAGATTTAATCTATATTGCGTCTTAGATTAAGGTTCTCTTTAATATTTATATCTCTTTAATATTACTGCGTTCAAAAAAATCTCGTTAACTGAAACCAAGCGAAAATTCTACCAATTACGCTCTTGCTCGACAAATTATATAAATTACATGATTAATAATTGAACAACAAAAATTCTAAAACTTGAAGTTTTTATTTCAGGTGAAGTTTAATTTGATTCCAATTGTGCATATCATGGTTCAATGGGATTATGCATACCGAGCAGCCCGTAAAGGCCCATGGGAAGAAATGGCACGGGATAGAGAGAGATTTAAACGACGTATAAATTGCATTGGGGCTGTTCTTAATCCAATTTTAGCAACTCAACACCGCACTCACGTTTGGCAGGAACGATTCGCTCTTCGGAAATAGTAGTTCTATCTTTTTTATACCGTAAGGTAATTTATAATAAATGCAAGGAAAAATTCTTTATCCTATTTCAGAATATGTGTATGTGTGATTATTATTTTTATTATTTTTATATACGGAAAATGGCTGTGAATATTAACTAAAATTTTTTTCTTGTAATATAGTATATGTTCACAACATTGCAACGTAACTTTACGTCACTACGGTATAGTCCATATTTTTTTTACCGATTTTTCTATTGATGCAACATTCGTTACCGGTAACTTCGATACAAATGAAGAATTACAGCATCTTACTGATTTTAATTTTCTGTTAGGTCTGTGCAAAACCTGCTCAGTAAAATAAAATAAAAAATAGCTAAAATTGAATTAAAAAATAATGTTTATCAGTCAAAATAGTTATATTGATTTTGATGTACTTTTATACCTAGGAAGAAGTTATCCCCGTTTTGTTATTGGTAAATTCAAATTAACATTTTATTTAAATCAATGAATGATTTTAAATTAATTTAAAAGAAACATTTACGAAATGTTCGTCTCCGATATTGATAAAATTTAGCATATTTATAAAATAAAGAGATACATATTTCTTTCATTAGCTGTAAGATGCAAGTTTAGAAGGCAAACAATCTTTTCAAGTTTCATCTCTTTGTGCTCTATTAATAGCCATTAAATGTATAAAACGTACGTTTCCTAAATATTTTTTTTAGATAACAGTTTAAAT